TCCGACCTAAAAAATATTATAGCAAATATAATCTAAATTAATAATATGATTAAAACGTTGAAATCTGAACTCAAATTACGTCCAACTTATGACGAAATGATAGGAATGATTGAAAGTCAAGGCGACCCGAATAGACCTTCAATTGAAAGCGTTATTGACAGACGAGCAACTATATTTAGAAACAATCAATACGGGAGCCAGTTTGATAATGTTGATTTTCTAGGATTGAAGAAGCAGGAAGAAGACAAAGTTAGAAATGAACTGAGACAAGCACAATTAAGAAAAGTTGGTATTGAAAAGGGAACCTCAACGGGTGTTTTAGCTGTTGGTTCAAGTGGATTTAACACCCCGCTAGAAGTTGAACTTTTGGATGGAAAAGAATTAAGCGTTGATGAAATATCTAGAATACAGGCGGAAATGGAAGCTCACAATCAAAGAATGAAGGAAGCGCGAAACAGGGTCGTTAGTAGCGCTAGTAGCGATTTAGCTGACGTTCATTCTCAATCATTACCCGCAGGTGTTCCGGTTCATTCAATGGCTACGGGTGATGATGACGAAATGCCAGAATTAGAACCAATTGAAGGGGAAGAGGAGGAGCAAATGGAAGACGATGAAGAGGTTGAAGATGATGATGTTGAAACGCAAGTGCCACCACAATCACGAAAACACAAGGAGATGATTGATTATAACAATAAAATTGAAAGGTGGAGACAGAAGGATGTCAATTTTGAAGACATTTTGTTTCAAATGCATTTAAGAGGAATAAACTTAACAAAAGAACAACAAGAGGAAATGGATAAACTAAAAATAAAAGGAAAAGGTAAGTCAGAAACCAAGAAAGACTATTTGTTAAGATTTGTAGAGGGACTAATTGGTAGTGGAAAATGGACTGACCACGTCAATGACCAGTTGCTACAAAGTAGAATGAAGGAATGGCGAGAAATGAAAAAGGGAAAAGGTAAGGGTGGTGGTATAGGTTCTGCTATTGCTAGTGGTGCAAAGGCGGTAGGCGGTGCAATTTTGGAAGCAGGTAAAGAAGCTGTTAAAGATGCCGTTATAGCAGGAGCACAAAATGCCGTATTAAGTCTTTTATAAATAAATATATAGAATGCTTAAACTTCGCCCTACATATGAACAAATGTTAAAGGAAGCCAGAACGAGAAGGTTAAAAATACTATCGGAAAGACAGACACGAACACAGCAAGGTATATTGTTAGATGATGTTGATTTTGAAGAGTTTGATTTAAGTAGCTATGATAAGAGAATGAATATTAGTAATAATAATGATAATGATAATCCGAATAAAGCAACTCAGACGGATTTTAATTTAGCTTCATCTTCAAATTCTTCTGTTAGTGAAAATATGAGAACTCCCGAAGAAGCATTTAAAGAAGAAGTTAGTGAAGCATCAAGTATAAGAAGTGATGAGAAATCAGTTGATAGAAAAGAGGAGAAACAAAAAGAGAGAAGCCTAATGAGAAGACTATATGATAGTATGTTTGAAGAAGTTGAAGTAGATATCCCACAAAGTAGACAGGTAAGTGTAGCAACAGAAGAAAGCCAAGCGAGTAGTTCTTCTTTACCGGTTGATGCTTCTGATGAAGCATCAAGCGCAAGCGGAAATCCGCTTCCGGTTGATGAAACATCAAGCGCAAGCGGTGCTTCTGCACCGCTTCCGGTAAATGTTAAAAAATCTTATGAGCCATCATCATCTTCATCAAGTTCAAGACGAAGTTCAGGAAGAAGTGCGTTACTGCCCGTTGAAGAAGGAGCATTGAGTGAATACGTTCAGTCTAGCCCACCGGAAACGGTTCAAAGTTCAGTGCCTTCTGATAGAACAGTTGAATATTTACAAAGTTCCCCACCGGTTAGTGTTGCCAGTTCGGAAAGGACTATTGAATACATAAGGTCTAGGAGTTCGTCAGGAAGAAGTAGATAAATAAATATTTCTTTCAAATGATTTTTATCCTAAAAGAAAAATCACTTAAAGAAATATTTATATTTAATAGATAAGATAAATGAATTCTTTTCTTGTTTCAGAAAATGGAGAAAAATTATGTATTGATGAAGATTTGTTTGATGCAATGTGGAACTCAATTGAACCAAATGAAGAGTTGCAAAATCAAAGGAAGTTGAAGAAGAAAGCTCATAATGACCGCTTGAATGCTAAATATAGAGAAGAAGGTTATTTTAAGAATTACTTTAAAAACAACAGTCACGAATACGAATGTGAGAGATGTGGTAGTATGTTATCAACAAATACAATAAGAAGTAAGCACTACAAAAGCTTAAAATGTCAAAGACTTTCGGAAGAAAGGAGACAGGCAGAATTAGGAGAAAGAATTGTAAGAAAGGTGCTATTCGGATGATTTAATATTAATAAAATATTATTAATATTAAATATGAGTAAAAACGAAGTTCTGGAAAATATATATTATGATTTAGAGCGCGGTTATGGAAGTGTTAGAAGCTTGTATGAAGAAGCTAAAAAAGATGGTCTCATAATAACATTGGAAGAAGTCAAGGAATGGGTTAGAAAACAACCTAATAAACAAAGAAGAAACTATAAGAATTCAAACAGCTATTCGCCACCTTTTGCGAGAGCTGTTTATTCTGTTGATATTATGGATATGACTAGCTTGATGAAAGATACTGACACCTTTAAAGAAGAGTATAAGCGTTATGGTTTGATTTGTATTGATAATTTTAGTAAAAAGACACACGTAGTGCCGATGGAAAACAAAGATGGTGAAGATGTTTATAAAGCTTTTCTGGAATGTTTCAAAGTATTAGGACAACCGCAAAGTATCTATACCGACCACGATGGAGCTTTTAATTATAAGAAATTACAAACTTATTTCAAAGGCGAGGGCATTACACACATCGTAACATTAACTCACGCTAATGTAGCAGAAAGAGCGATTAGAACATTTAAGAAAATGATTGGTGACAGAGCTTTAGAAACGAAAGGGGCTTGGACGATATTATTAAAACCGGTCTTGGATAAGTATAATAAGAAGATGGTTCACTCAACAACAGAAATGATACCAGACGAAGCACATAAAGACGAGAATTCTGTTGAAGTTAAGGCTAACACAGTGTTGAAAGAAAAGTATTTAAGGAGATATCCAAAGATTGAAGTCGGAGATAAGGTTAAAATATTTGATAAAGGAAAAGGCAACTATACCAGCAGGAAGGAGACACGCAGTCAATGGTCTGAAAGAACTTATGAAGTCAAGGAAGTAAAAAGAGACCCACAACTTAATAAATATTATCTTTTGGAAGGTCGGGAAAAGCACTATAATAGACACGAGTTGTTGTTGGTTGATTGAAAATATAAAAGGACTTAAAGACAAAACGCCCTATAATATTAGTGTAATGTGTGAGAAACATTTGAAGGAGGAAGAAGAAAAACTGAAAATAAATGAAATTGAACTTGAAGAACTAAATGAGGACATAGAAAATATTTATAAGAAAATATTTAAGTATGATAGCAAAATAGAAGCATTAGATGAAAATAATTCAGAAGAACTTGTTATGTGGCTTAATAAAAAGTCATCTTGTTATTTTGACTTGTCAAAAAAGATAGATAATAAAAGTAGTAAGTTGAAGAGTATCAAATGTTGTAAAGATATGATTGAAATGTGGAAACGAAATCTGAAGCAGTCTAGCCAAAATGAAACCTAAAATAAAAATCACTTAAAGACAAAAAGCCTTATAATATTAAGAGAAAAAATGAAAGGAGAGCCGAATTCAAGAATTGTTGAAAGAAAATTCAGACCAGACAAACATAAGGATGTTACTAATTTTATAGGACAATGCTTGAAAGACGGTTTATTTCTAACTTATGAAGAATTCATCAATGACGTATTAGGATTAAACTTTGGTAATAATATTGTTAATGATTGTATGTTAAGCTTTTATGGTATTAATGAAACGTATTTTGAAGCAATAAGAAAGCTTATATGTTGTAACACTATATTTAGTTATGAAAAAACAGCTTATGGATTATATAAAGATAGAGGCGTTGAAAACTTCTTTGAAACGTTCAATCACATAAACAAAATTATCAATTATGTTCAGAGAAAACTAAATTATGAAACAGATGATGGTCTTTATATGGTAAAAGTTATAATAATGACAAACATTTTCAGAATGACAATGAATAAAGCTTCAAGGTCTGAAAGTCTTTTTCATATAAACTCTATGATTAGTAGGTATAATTCAAGAGACTTTTTAGATGAAGATATAACTGTTATGACTTGTAAATGTGGATGTGTAATTAAAAGGTCTCAATATAGAAGACATATAAACACTAAAAAACACGGTGAGCTAATGAAAAAGGTAATAGAAAAAGAGCTAATGATAAGAAAAGCAATAAAGTTAAATGAAATGGATTAAATAATCATCATATTAAAAATAATTAATATGATGATTAAGGACTTTAAGTAATAGAAGCTTTGGTAAGAATATTGTTAGGGAGCTTAGGAAAAGTAGGATGAAAAATATGAGAAATGAATGAAGGGCGATGGTAAGAGAATTGGAATGAATGTTGGGGAGTGAGAGTGAAAAATGAATGAGGGTGGAATTAACGATGAAAAAGTGCTGAAATAGGAGGGTAAAAAGGCAATATTGGTCAATAACCCCTAGAAGCCCCCTCCGGAAAGTGAATAAGGTGATTATGATGATGAAAACGAAGAAGGCGTGTTAGAAAGTGAAATAACAGCGGAGGGGGGCAATGTATGATGTATAAGTCCTTAAAAACCCCCTTTCTACAATTTTTTGGGGGGGGGGGTTGACTGAAAATTCCCAGGCCACGTTCTGGGCGGTGGGTGCTCTAAGCAGGCCCGGTGGGAATCTAGGGCTTCGGGTTGAGGGGACAGGGTTTCGGGTCTGAACCCAGGGCTTAGGGCAGCTTAGTGTTAGGAGGTTGCTTGGTAGAATTAGGATGTGCGCGTTTAGGGTTTAGGCGGTTTAGGGTTTAGGGTTTAGGGTGCTGTATGTTCTGGCATATTTTTAAAGGGAAGTTCCATAGGACACCACCCGCGCGCGGCAAGAGAGCAAAGACTTCGTTTCTTGTAGCGTGCATCCTCGGCCTAGCATGTGGTTCTTGGGTGCATATCTCGTTACCCCGAAGTTCTGGCTACGCGCAGCTCCACGGACGGGTTCGCCAGCTGCAAGCATGCTACGCCCGCCCTTCCCACCTAAGGAACCTCGCTCAAGCCAACATGCTGATGATGCTGAACCAAACGATCCAGGCGATGCTGAGGGAAGGTTGCCCCAGGCTCTTAGTGGATGACACCGATTTTGTCACATCGGTGAGATGGTGTGATGGATTGCCCGACCTATTCCGGCCACTAGCTTCGCTTTGCCCCGAAACGTGTGGATGCAAAGCAAGCTTTTCGGCCTCTTGCCCCCCGCGTTGCCAGCTTGAGCTGCATAATTCAAGCAATGCCTCGTCTTCGTAGAGGAGGAGGAGCCGTATGTTGCGGCATTTAAGCCTGGGTTTAGGGTTTAGGGTTTAGGGTGTAGGGTTTAGGGTTCAGGGTTTAGGGTTTAGGGTTTAGGGCTCAAACATTCCTCACTTTTTCCGGCGTGACCTATAGCCAGCCACAGGCATTTTCCGAAAGGACAAAGCCCTGTGCGCTGTCAGCGAAGGGGAGCGAAGAGCGCCTCTGCCGCTTCCACACTGCGAATGCTGTCGTTCGGCCAAACAGGAGATGGAGGTTTAGCCCTACACCCTAAACCCTAAACCCTAAACCCTAAACCCTAAACCCTAAACCCTAGAGCCTCGAGCCCAGAGAGCCTAGAGCCTAGAGCCTCGAGCCTGAACCCTGAAGGGTCGGAGTCGGAGGCTCTGTTTTACAGCAAGTTGTGGTCGTGAACTCCACGGCCCTCAGCCCTACAAGCAAGCCCCAAACCCTAGACGGGTGGTACACAGAGGAGCAAGCCGAAAAGCCTAAAGTCTAAGCCTAAACCCTAAACCCACCCTAAACCCTAAACCCTAAAGCCTAAACCCTAAACCCTAAACCCTAAACCCTAAACCCTAAAAGCCTGTGCCCAGCTGCTTCGAAATACATGCCGGTTTCGATCCCCTTCACAGCGGCTTAGTGCTTAGGGCCAGCACCAAACCCTCACCCTAAAGGATTTAAGGTTCCTGGGGTTTCGGGCTTGGGGCTTTACAAGGTTTGGGAAGACTGGGTTGTTCCCGCTATCCAAATTCAGTCGTCCATACAGGTGACCATGATGGATACCGTTTACCCTAACTTAGGACAACTTCCTTGGCAGCGAGAGGGACCCCATTCTCAGGTGCTAAACGGGCCAAAAAGCCCTCAAGCAGCAACCCTAAACCCTGAACCCTGAACCCTAAACCCTAAACCCTGAACCCTAAACCTTAAAATTCCAAGCAACCTCAAAACCCTATAGCCCCCTGAGCCCTAAACTGAGCCCCAAACTCTTTCATGCTCAGCCCAGACCCTGCAACTGGGTCTCAATGCCCCTAAGCCCTAAGCCCTAAACCCTAAACCCCAAACCCTAAACCACAAACCCTAAACCCTGCCGCTCCCGCAGTCGGCTCGGTTTGGGGGAGGGGTGTGCGTCAGACTTTAAGGGGCGGGGAGACTGTCTGTGTGCCGGGCACTTAGGCTTTGCTTTTTTTTGGTTTAGGGTTTAGGGTTCAGGGTTCAGGGTTTAGGGTTTAGGGTTTAGGGAGTAGGGTTTAGGTTGGGGGTTTTGCGGGTTCAGGGCTTGGGTTTAGTGATGGGGATTTGGGGCGTCCAGGTGTTTGGTTTGTTTGAGTGTGCGGGGTTTCGTCATGGGTTTCCTCATTGGGCACGTCTTCTGGCGTCAGAGTTACGGGAATTTGGGAAAAGAGCTTGTTTGAGTTTCCATCTCAAACCGAGAAAAAGAACTTGCAATAAACTGCCCTAAATCCTAAACTAGCCTCTAAACTTGGGATGTTCCCCCTTATATTAGCAGTCCTCAATACGGATTCTACTGGGGTTACTAGAATTCCGATTAAGGACTGTTAGTAGAAGAGAGAACATCAACTAACACCAATCAATGTGGACGTGCTGTTCAGCTAGGTGGGTAAACCCTAAACCCTAAACCCTAAACCCTAAACCCTAAACCCTAAACCCTAAACCCTAAACCCTAAACCCTAAACCCTAAACCCTAAACCCTAAACCCTAAACCCTAAACCCTAAACCCTAAACCAAGCATCAACCTCACCATGGCCAGTGGCACTCTAAATCCGAAACTGCCCTCCACCTCCTTGCATGGACATGCATCGGTTTGGGGTTTAGGGTTTAGGGTTTAGGGTTTAGGGTTTACGGGAGAAAGAAGGGCAACCGAAACTAAGGAGGGATTGGGCCCCAAAAAGAGATGGTTAGTGCCCTTCTGCTGGGTGTTCCAACAATCAGGATCAAATTTGAGGTGTGTGTGTGTGTGTGTATCAAGGCTGCCCCTATTCTGGGACATTGGCCACATAGCCTGAAGACCCTCAAGTCGAAACCCTCAATCCTAAATCCTAAATCCTAAACCTCAACCCTAACCCCTAACCCCTAAACCCTAAACCCCTTTGCTGAGGTTGCGCATCCCATGCATGCGCTGCCCTCGGCTTCACCGGCTTGGGAGCTAGTCCAGAAAGAAGCCCAGGGTTTAGGGTTTAGGGTTTAGGGCTCAGGGTTAAGGGCTCAGGGTTTAGGTTCCTCAACATTGACTAGCCTGCGCAGGCCGCCCCGCTCGTGCTTGCTTCCTTTTCCTCTGCTCGACAACTCTACTTGGAGGTTCATGGTATATACTAAACCAATGAGGACTGTACTTATAACCCACTGATAAGCCCGTTAAGTGCCCGAATATGGTCATAAGCACTGTTAATGAGTACCTCTCTGCAACACACTTCGATCCTGCCCGCTTGCAATGTTCACCCTTATACTAAGACTCCTTAACGGGGATTATAGTACTGCCAGCTTGACACATTCTCAACACTGGGTTCAGGACTTCGGGTTTCGGGAGTCGGTTTCAACAAAGGTCTTGAAAGTTGGTGTACTAAACCTAAACCCTAAACCCTAAACCCAAAACCCTAAACCCTAAACCCTAAACCCTAAACGGTCTTGGGCCAGCGTGCAACTCGAGAGTGTGCGGACTTGCGAAGCTAGGCGAGGGTCGCGGGAGTTCCCGCAAGACCGCGGCTGAAGCAACGACATCCGAAGTGGTGGACCTGAGCGCGTCCACAAGGCGGCAATGTACGAGATCAGCTCCATCCTCCTGGCATGCGATTCCTAGGTAGGATGAGGGGGGACCCTTACAAGGGAACCCCTTCTTAACCCTCTTCTGGCTCTCTTTAACAGGGACCTTATTCAGAGGGTCTATATCCCCAAGGGTCCCCCTAATCCTATCCCCTAGCGATGAACATGACCTCGATCATCCGACCTAGGCCTTCTCCTCTGGAGCTGGCATGCAGCAAATGGGGCGAAGTGAAGGTGAAGAGCTTGTTGGTTGCAGTATGCAGGACCCCTAAACCCTAAACCCTAAACCCTGATCCCTAAACCCTAAACCCTAAACCCTAAACCCTAAACCCTACACCCTAAACCCTGAACCCTAAACCCTAAACCCTAACCCCTAAACTCCTAAACCCCTAAACCCCTAAACCCCTAAACCCCTAAACCCCTAAACCCCTAAACCCCTAAACCCCTAAACCCTAAACCTAAACCCTAAACCCTGAACCCTACCATGCGTAACCTGAGAGGAGTGGCGCCCCGCCCCACAGAGCGCAACACAAACCCTTCAGAAAGTCGCTAAACTATAAGCCCCAAACCCTAAACCCTAAACCCTAAACCCTAAACCCTAAACCCTAAACCCTAAACCCTAAACCCTAAACCCTAAACCCTAAACCCTAAACCCTAAACCCTAAACCCTAACCCTAACCCCCCCCCCCCCCCCCGGCACCTCAGACAGACAGACTCTTAGCCTCCCAGGGCGAGATGGTGGGACAAAGCTCCATCGACGTCCACGAGGTGCCCCGAGCTAATCTTTGCCTTGCTTGAGGGGTGTTTGGGTTTTAGGGTTGGGGTTTAGGGTTTAGGGTTTGGGGTTTAGGGTTTAGGGTTTGGGGGTTTGGGGGTTTAGGGTTTAATTGGGGCTTAGGAGGCCCCTTAAGCTTGAGAACTTTCTTGTGCGTAGTTTCCCAAACAACCCTCAACAGAGGCGGCTTCTTGGGATTCTTTTCCTCCAGATGAGCCTGGTGGAACCCTAAACCCTAAACCCTAACCATCCCTAAACCCTAAACCCTAAACCCTAAACCCTACTAAACCCTAAACCCCAAACCCTAAACCCCAAACCCTAAACCCTAAACCCTAAACCCGAAATGGGCTAAAAAAGCTTCACGATGTAGGGGACTTCGAGCTTGGGGCAATGGGAGTATGATGGAAGTATGGGCGCCTTCTCTCCCTTTTAATTGCACTCAGGGTTTAGGGTTTAGGGTTTAGGGTTTAGGGTTTAGGGTTTAGGGTTTAGGGTTTAGGGTCCCGAGTCCCATACCAAAGACTAGCAAGCAAGGGTTCTACGAGGGCTCAAGCAAGGATGCTTCCTGGTGAGCATCTTACCCCTTGAAGAGGGCTTCGGGTTTAGGGTTTAGGGTTTAGGGTTTAAGGTTCCGAAACCGTAAACCCTAAACCAGAAGCCCTGAGCTAGGCGGAGCCGAATGGTGGCGAAAGCGACAGCCAGCGGGCAGTAGGGGCCTCGCCTCCCTCTTCCACACCCTAGGGTTTAGGGTTTAGGGTTTGAGGGTTTAGGGCTTTTGGATGTTGGGGTTTAGGGTTTCGGGTTGAGGGTTTGGCCTTCAGGGTACCAGTGGCAGCTTGAGGCTCCACGCCCACGGCGAATATCTCCACCAAAGCAGCAGGATAGATGGCCACTGGTGGGAGGTTTAGGGTTTAGGGATTTAGTGTTTTGGGGTTTAAAGTTTAGGGTTGGGCTTGCAGGTGCCGAAATCCACACGCCCTCAAGGCCAAAATCCTGACTCCGACCTGGCAAGTGTCGATCAGTAGAAGGGAAGAAACCATATGTTTTTTTTGGGGAGCTCTTAAGCAATTAGTAGGAACCAGGAAGCCTTAAGGCCTAAACCCTAAACCCTAAACCCTAAACCCTAAACCCTAAACCCTAAACCCTAAACCCTAAACTCTAAACTCTAAACCCTAAACCCTGAACCCTAAACCCTTAAACCCTAAACACCCCAAACCCTAAATAAACCCCCTAACCCCTAGATCCTACGCTCTTTGAGGCCCAGCTGGCGGCGGCGCTGATTAAGCGCCTTCGATGCCAGGCCTAAATTGAGAGTCTCAATTTAGGGTTGAGGGTTGAGGGTTGAGGGTTGAGGGTTGAGGGTTGAGGGTTGAGGGTTGAGGGTTGAGGGTTGAGGGTTGAGGGTTGAGGGTTGAGGGTTGAGAGTTGAGGGTTGAGGGTTGAG